GGTCCTTTGCAACCCAGGCCATTCATTCTACGTTTCTGTGAAAAAGATTTTGAAATAGCTTCCATGGTCAAAGTTCAGGTGGCCGTTATTCATACAGGACATTTAAAGATGATGGTAATAAGTAAGAAATAAATTTTAGAAGCTGCACAAGTGATGGGACTTGCTAACTCCAGTATATTTTTTTAATGAGACAAAACCATACTCTAATGAAACATAATATTAGACCTGTTTAGGATTGTGAAACAGAACTCTCAGTTATTTAAGAAAATTAAGAGCCAAACCAGAAGCAGTATTCCTTGAGAGAGAGAGAATAGACTCTTCCCATGTACAGCAGCAGATTTCTTAGTGTTAAGTGACTCAAAAGATCATTTTTAACCTGTACCTCTTATGAAGACTGGTTTTGATCCCCCACAGAACCTCTGCAGCAATCACTTCCAGAGCATTTTACATTAACACATCATTTGGCATGGATACCACACGTCACTATTTGAAATTAAACAGTACTGTTTCCTAGGTGCTGCTAATTTCTGGTAATAAGTGTAACTGTAACTGTCTTTGCAGAACGAACCTTTTAGCCCACAGACTGAATAGCAGCTTCTGAAGTATACCCCATATGACTTTAATGTTTTCTCATTATTACAGACTGTACACAGCAGTCCTGCAAAGTTTAAAACCCCAAGCTTTACAGCTGATGCCCTCATGCTATGTTAATCTAGGACACTGGTAGAGGACTACATGGTGCAGAAGCAAGAAAACATCTGGCAACACTGACTGCAGCAAGTAAAAAAGTCAGTTTAGATGTTTTCCTTTTCTAAATAGGTATCCAAATTAATCACTAATTTGAATGAAAAGAGCATCTCTAGTTGAAACATAACAGAAATAATACTAATGCATTTTTTAAAAAAGGGGGAAGTTTTGTTCTCAACATAGCACATCAGTACTGTCACAGATGAGCAGCAATCAGTCAAACACCTGGATAGTTGGAGAAAGTGCCAACACAAGTAAGGAATTAATAACAGTACACGGCTATTTCTTTCACAGTCTGAACTCCTTAAGCATACTGCAAGTTCAGCCAGCTTTTCAAACTGCAAGCAGCTATCCTTCTTAAACATTCTTACAGTACAACTACTTAGAACAGCACACAGTGCATTAGGAGTAGGTGTAAAAACACAGGTTTCTTTAACCAAGTAACCCTTGAAAGCATTAAAGGTCATGCACTTGGACATTCAGAAACCTTTGAATTATTGTGTATTATATTTTTTAAATTCTTTTTTTTTTAAATGAAGGTTACTCTGAAAGTAATGCTTCTCATTTCATGACATTGCCCATGAAGTCAGAGGTAGATGTTGGTGTCATATCGTCATAACAGTAGAGGTTGAACCTTCCCACAGATATTCTATTACATGTTGTTGCCATGGGACAGATGGCACAGAGGGGCAGTCTGGCAGAACAGTGTCTGACATGAAAGCATGGATGAAGCAAAGATGTGCCACTGAATTCCTCCATGTGGAAGCAGTGACATTCATCAGTGGTTGCTGAATGCTTGTGGAGACAAACCAGTAGATGTGAGCAGCAGCAATAGCAGCAGGTGGCACTACTTTTGGAGCAACCAATTATTATCCATCCAATTACAATTTTCAGACAGATATTATGGCAAAAGTACATAAACTTTTCCCAAGATACTCCAATACCACCACTTCATGAAGGCTACAGATTGCTCTCATTGCAGAAGGGAAACTTCCCTCTTTAAGAACAATCTTAGATGTGCCAGAGAAATTGCTGATCTATTTAATCCAATAGGTAGATCAGCCAACTGGAAAGGACCTCAGGGACACTCCATAGACACTCTTACACTACTAATCACTGGAAGATGACTCTCTCAGAAAGGAATGAGAGACAATTTTGCCCTCCACTGGCTAGAACTATCAATGGAAACCATGCCTCAGTTCTGTAAGAGGCCCTATTTCACCCAGTGTAAAATCCCTTTATCAAGTTTACCAATCCTGTTTGAAGTACAGTAATTGGTATGGGATATCGCAGACTGGGAAGGTGGAAAACACATTGAGCAGGTGGGAACCAGATATGCAGTGAAACATTATGTAAAAATATAAAAAATTCTCTGAAGAGATCAGGAGATCAACTGTGATGTACTTAGCCTTACAAACTGCTAGAGCAGCAAATGTGCATGCGGAATAAAAAGAACTTTGACATTCCCATTCCCAGCAGAAGTGTTCTGCACATCACTCTGCAGATTACTGAAAACTTTTCCCAAACACACCAATCTGTTTTTTTTTTTTTTTTTCTTCTTTTTTGGGGGAGAGGAAGGAGAGATGAGAATTCAACGGATTGGAAAGGAAAGGAGGAATAAGGGCAGGAAGGCAGGTAAATACTCAAGAAAACAAGGACACCAGAGAAGTACCACTTAAAGTAATTTTCTTCTCACCTTTATGCAAAGCAGCACTGAAATTACATTGTTAGAATAAGCACCTATATTCCAGTGTTCAAAACGATTCAAAATTTAAATTTATGCAGCATTCATTAACCACAGGCTTAGATGAAAGAAGTTGCTTCACAGAGGCAACATCAGGGTAAGAATTAAGGGTTTTAAATACTAAGTGGTTTACCAATTACTGTTTTAACAAACACTAACCTACTTATCGTTTTGTTATTGTAAAGGTTTCCCTGCTCCCCATCCGCCAGTTATTTCCCACCTCTTAGCAGAACATCCCAACATCCCCTTTAGAGCGTGACCACACAACCCCTTCACTCAGAAGAGGTGCAAGTGAGGGAAGTGAAAACCTTCAGTGGAAAGGGGAGGAAAGGATCAATCAACCTGCAAGCAGATCAGCTGTCAATGGAACTGAAAGGATATCCATGCAGAAACGGCTATAGGTGACTCCCATCCTTCCTTCTGCATTAAGGCCATCTGCCCTCAACTTTGTCACGCCTAAGGTTTCTAGCATCCCTATTGTTCCAGGCAAGACCAACTGTTTTGACCACATCATAACTTAGAGAAAGAGAAATCCTTCTGGTGAGGGACTAAGAACAAAGTCCCCTCTGGTGTTCGTCTCTGTCTTTGTTATTGGCTTTACTTACAAGGCTAAATTAAAAAAAAAAAAAAAAAAAAAAAAAAAAAAAAAAAAAAA